CATCCTTGGCCTCCTCCACTGTCACGGAGGCCAAACATCAACAGGAGGAACAACACCTTAAATTTCCCCTTGGAAACTTACAGGCCAAAGGCCTGAATATTGACTTCAACTTCAAAATCTCTCCTCACCCAACCTGTCCATCTTCTGACTCTCCTATCCGCTCCACTCTTCCCACTGACCAATCACAATAACCCCCTACCTGCATCCACCTATCTCCATGTCACCTACCCTTTCCCCCAGCCCCACTCCCTTCCCACCGTTTATTTCTGGGCTCCTCTCCCCCTCCCCAGTTCTGACGAAGGGTTTCAGCTTGAAAAGTTGACTTCCCTTCTTCTCGGATGCTGTCTGACTGGCTGTACTTTACCAGCTCTATTGACTCTCGCTTCCAGCATCTGCAGTCCTTACTGTCTCCAAGTGGCTGATGCCAATTTATGCATTTTTACCTCCTAAATATTGCTAAGAGCATTACACAATTCTTATCATGTGTTGTTTTTTTCACCTCCAGGCACTGCAGCTCCATTATGCCTGGCTTACACTGGCTTCTGATGAAGCAACATCAAAATTTTAAACATTTTAATTCTTATTTTCAAAATCCTCCCTAGCTCAAATCTTAGGCAGTTCACTCCAAGACTCTTAGTTCTGACCACTTGAGCATACTCAACTTTAATCACTCAAGATTTTGTTTGTTTTGATATCAAGTTATGGAACACCCTCCCTAAACTTCTCCACCTTTCTACCTTGCTTTGCTCCTTTAAAACGTATTATTTTAAAATCCACTTTTTTGACCAATTTTTCCTAAAGCATCTTTATATGGTTCAGTTTTGCAATACAACATGCCTCTAGCATCTTGGGATGTTTTATTATGTTAAAGATACTATGTAAATGCAACTACTAAATGCTATTATATACCTAGCACAATATAACATCCTAGCTACCAGCACATTTTTTGAGCTAGTAGTGTCTGGATTGTCACCATATCATTGGAGGAGAACGGGGTTGCAACAAGTGAGAGATTAATGGGGTCAGTAAGAGTTTGAAGATGGACAACACAGAAGTTTTGTTCTTTAGAACCACCAATTAAATCAAAATTTGAGGGAATGTTAGTGGTTCTGGACTGAGCAGTTGCAGGCAGTTTGTCAGTGGTTTACTCTTGTAAGCTGGTTAAGTGCACTCAGCAATCCTAAGCATAGTTCGTTCCTTTTAAGCCTTGACTCTGCCTACCTACACCAAAGTTCACTGGATTCAAGAAAGTTAGATTTCTCACTTTATTGTATAAACATAAATCTTACAGATGGATGTAAACAGTTTCAGTAGCTTGAAGTAAACTTTTAAACATGGTGATAGATTCCAAAAGGAACAAACCAAAAAATTGTTGAATACCAACATTATTTACATATAAAACTACAAGTAAAAGAGGTAAGAATCATCCACAATCACTTTTAGAATCACAGAATCCGTACAGTGCAGAAAGAGGCCATTCAGCTCATCAGGTTTCATCAACCCTCCAAAAAGAATCCCACCCAAACCGACCCTCTCCCCATAACCCCACATTTACCATGGCTAATCACCGTGCCTGCAAATTCTTGATGCAACAGGGCAACTTTGCAAGGCCAATCCACCTAACCTGCACATCTTTGGACTGTGGGAGGAAACCTATGCAGACATGAGGAGAATGTGCAAACTCCACGCAGACAAACCGTCTGGGACCGAACCCTGGACTCTGGTGCCGCGAGGCAGGGCAGATGGAATTCAACCCAGAAAAGTGTGAAGTGATTCATTTTGGAAGGTTGAATTTGAATGCAGAATACAGGGTTAATGGCAGGATTCTCGGCAGTGTGGAGGAACAGAGGGATCTTGGGGTCCACATCCATAGATCCCTCAAAGTTGCAACCCAAGTTGATAGGGTTGTAAAGAAGGCATATGATGTGTTGGCTTTCATTGGCAGGGGAATCGAGTTTAAGAGCCACGAGATTATGCTGCGGCTCTATAAAACCCTGGTTAGACCACATTTGGAATATTGTGTTCAGTTCTGGTCGCCTCATTATAGGAAAGACGTGGAAGCTTTAGAGAGGGTGCAGAGGAGATTTACCAGGATGCTGCCTGGACTGGAGGGCAGGTCTTATGAGGAAAGGTTGAGGGAGCTAGGGCTTTTTTCACATTGGAGTGAAGAAGGATGAGAGGTGACTTGATAGAGATGTACAAGATGGCGAAAGGCATAGATAGAGTGGATAGTCAGAGACTTTTTCCCTGGGTGGAAATGACTATTACGGGGGGGGGGGGCAGGCATAATTTTAAGGTGATTGGAGGAAGGTATAGGGGAGATGTCAGAGGTAGGGTCTTCACAGAGAGTGGTGGGCGTGTGGAATGTGCTGCCGGCAGTGGTAGTGGAGTCAGATACATTAGAGACTTTTAAGCGACTCTTGGATAGGCACATGGAGGATAGTAAAACGTAGGGTATGCAGGGTAGATTGATCTTAGCAGGATAATAGGTGGCACAACATCGTGGGCCGAAGGACCTGTACTGTTCTATGTTCTATGCTAATCACTGTGTCATCGTATCGCCTAGGTGGCTAGCTAAGAATGTAACATCATATGGTAGTGGTTGAGGAACTGCTACAAATACCATGGAGATAATAATTTTCTCTAAAAGCAAGGGTAGATATCAAGACAACAGCTAACAGTTGCTGGCTGAAAATTCTGGATAGTATTTAAGACTGTGCATAGCCTGTAGGTGGAAAACACAGAAAACACAACATAAAGTCCAGTAATGAGAGTCTGAAACCTCTTGCCCTTTTCATTAATACTAGAAAGGGGACCTCAAAACCTGCATTATTTTTCAATCAAATTTGACACCTGTTACAAGACAAATCCAATAACACCACACACTATACTGGATTCATCTTATTTGCTTCAGACTATCTAAAATATTTATGCTGTGTGATCACAGTCTGTAAAACTCCATGGTGTATGTGCCACTGAAGTGCATGTAACATCATTCTTTATTTTATGAAGTGCATTGTAGGCCTTATGTTCAATTACTAAGAACAGGGTTTGGAAATTACTAGACAAGCAAGCCAAAACCCCAGTACACACACACAAACACACAAAAGTGTTTGCGCTCAATCACACTGAGCAAACATAATGCCCTTAATAAAAAGTTAAAAGCACTGAAATGTAATAATTTGAACAATACAGATATTATTGAGCTTACAAATTAATGTATGAAAAATAATGGGTTCATAACAAGCTCATGCTAGCAACTTAAGGGAATTACACAAAGTATTTTCTGATTGCTTTCTTTTAATAATTAAAAAAGCAGATATCATTCATTTTATTTTTCACCACAACGGAATCTATGCAAAGGGATTTTTAGAAAGTAAACTCTATGAATCACCATCTGTCCTTATGTTTTGCTTTTATTGTATTTCTCCCTGCTTTCAACGGTCTGTCATGTCATACACCTCACTTTCCAAAACAAATTTATGTGCTGGGGGGAGAGCTGGAGGATAAACAGAGCAAAAGTGGATTCCGCCAATTTCTGCCTCTGGAGATCCAAAATCTACAGGAGGTCATGTTATTGGATACACTGAGGTACATTTAATCATAGCACTCTGACCACGTGCTGAAAATGTTTTCAGCCTATTAGCAAAAATAATTTGCCTCATTTTAAATTTGTTAAACACTACATTACTAAATGCATCAGAAGACATTGAATGGAGCATAAAAGTTCATCAGATGCTTTTAAAGCAAACCATCATTTTCACGCTTACTAAAACGCCAATTCCTTAATTGCGCTCAACTGATAAATCAACGAACAAGGAGCAGGAAGTGGGCTCTTCAGATTCTTAAGCTTGCTCAGCCACACAATAAGATAATGGCTGAACAGATAGAAACCTCAACTTCACATTCTCCCTTACCCCGATATCCTTTCACCCACTTACTCAACAAGACTATATTCAATTATGGCTTAAAACTTTCCAAGGATTCTGTTTTCAATAACTTTTCAGGAAAAGAGTTTCAAAGACTTATGACCCTCTGAGGAAAAAGAATGCTTCAGTTTTAAAAACTGACATTAGGACAGTGTGCAGGAGGTCAGCATCACTATGAAACAGACTGGGACAGCGAACCTGCATAAAAGGGCAATGGTTGCAGAAGATTAAAATCTGGCCTTTCAAAATTCAAGGATATCAATGTGTCAGAAAAATAGGCAAAAGAAAAAGGAGTGGGATGATGCTGTTTCTCCTAACAGAGCCAACTGTAACAATTCAGGAAAACCGGTAGATCACTGATGGCAGCGTTCACTCTGATACTTTTCCCATTGCGTGGGGCTCTAAGGACACCAAAAAGAGTTTTCTCACTATTGAACAAAAGTATATATCAGGAGATAATGGAGGCACTTAGGAAAGGGCACTATAATTGCCATGGATAAATTTAATCTTCATGCTGACTGGAAGGTAGGCGATCAGGTGCCACATGAAAAGTTATTGCACAAGATAGGAGCTTACAGTGTCGGGTAATGTATTAGTATGGGTTGAGGATTGGTTAACACATAGAAGACATAGTGGGGATGAATGGGTCTTTTTCAGGTTGGAAAGCCAAGACGAACTGAGTGCCACAAGTATCAATGAATCCTCGGGCCTCAATTATTTACTAGCAATGTTAATGACAAGTGAGGGGACAGAGTGTAATGTATCCAAATTTGCTGATAATGCAATAATAGGTGGGAGGACATATTATGTTGAAGACACAGGAATGGGATATAGATCAATTGAGTGAGTGAACAAAAACTTGACCAATGGAGTTTGATGGAGAAAAGTGGAATGCCCTGCATGAGGAGCTGCCATGTAAAATGAGTTGAGGCAGACCAGCTTGAATTTATAGAATGGCAGGGCAGCATTGACGGAAGTAACATCCTATTCTGACTTCCATTTATTGTGTTTTTATGATCTTAAAAGGAGATGACTGATCTTTTAGCAGTGATTCTGATTTTAGATTTTCCTTTAAGAGAATCCTCTCCACACAGCCAATCAAAACCTCTCAGGATCTTGTGTTTCAATCGACTAACCTCCTGCCTTCTAAGCTCCAGCAGATACAATCCCTGCCTGGCCAACCTTTCCTCACAATGCAACTTAAAATTTCACTACACTGTTTTAAATGTATTTGCATCCATGTTTAAATACCAATACTGTGTGCAGTTTTCCATATGTACGGTGTCCTATATAACTGAAATGTCACCTCACAATTATTGCATTCAGTTTTCCTCCCGATAAATGATAAACTATAATCCTTCCTAATTATCTGCTGTGACTGCATACTAATTTTTTATGATTCATGCATTAGGACTCTCAAATCCCTCTGCATCTTAGACCGTTGGGCGGCATGATGGCTCAGTGGTTAGCACTGCTGCCTCAGAGCGCCAGAGACCAAGGTTTGATTCCAGCCCTGCGCGAGTGTCTGTGTGGAATTTGCACATTCTTCCCTTACTCTGGGTGCTCCAGTTTCCTGCCACAGTCCAAAGAT